TCATTTTAGCTTGGTTAGTCACAACAACCAAAATTTTCTCCTGCGTACATTGGGCTTTGCTCCGATTCTTCTGCTCAACACAACTTGCTAAAATTTTTTTTTTGCAAAAGAATGGGCAACCCCTCCCTTAATTTGCTTTGATCCTTCCCATAAGAAGCCTAAGGACCATGCAGAAGTTTTTGTTATTGGTCCCCTTCCATTCGACTTCTAATAGGCGTGATGTAGCGGATTTTGACGGAGAGAAATAACTGGGCACTTTTGCGCTCAGACGGGCACAAAGGTGCCTGTCCCTCAGATTACACCATTTATTTGTTGGGCATAAAGACGACTATAGTGGCGTAGAAGTGGAGAGCTCTCGAGCACCCATAGACCAAAATAGTGACTAAAGATCGCTAATCGAGAGGTTGACGGAAAAGCCCCGCCATGGGTGCAAAAGTGCCCATAGGCAAGTTAGCACCTCTTAGGAGGCACTAAATTGATATATGGGCACTTTTGCATACAAGCCTCAAAGGGCTGGCTCATTTGCCTCTCGTGTATGCCCAGCTTCACGTGGATGGCATTTAATGGATCATTGGATTATCAGAGACTATCCAAGAGTGAAAATGGGTTCTCAAAGGGTACACCGTATTAGACGAAAATCGCTGCCCGGGGCTAAGTACGACCTGAAAAGTTCAAAACAAAATTTTGGGTATGGATGTCCGTATGAGGGCTTTTATTGATCCAGAAGATGCGAGGAACCATGCATCATTAATACATGACCCCATAACCCCACAATATTTTTGGTGCTGACAGACGTCAAGTTAGAATTGAAATTCATCTTTTTTTTCAAAATGCGCGTCGGAGAGTTTGATGACTCCCATTGGCCATCGAAGGTTCCAAATAGGCGGGTGTGTCCTCTAAACACCAAGATAGACATTAAATATGTCCTGTTTCAGAATTAACCTTGTTGCACGGTGAATTCTCTCGTGGTGTAGGGCTAAATTGAAATCAACCCTAGTTTTGTGCTCGAGGCGCATGTTGGATGGTCCATATGGATGTCATAGGTTACAAGAAGCTATAAACAGTCCTGTAGTACTCAAATATATACTGACAGAAAATGACATTCAAGAGTGATGTCAACAACCGATACTAGAGAAAAATTTGAAATTAGTATCTGATATTTGCGTCGATTTTGCATCTAATTCGTGTCGAATACTAGTATTTAGTACTTGTGTCGGATTTGGGGCAAAATTTTGACACAAATGTTAAACTCTAAATGTTGAATTGGGATGAAATTTGTATCGAATTTGAGTCAAAGAAGTCGACGTAAGCACGTACTCAATTTCATTGAATTATGTTCGACACAAATTTCATCACAAAAAATCGCAGTTAGATAATTGCACCAAATAATCTGACGCGACGCTAATGCCCTAATATACATTTCCCGCTCCTCAAGCCTCATTTCTTTTCACTTAATTCTGAAACCCTCTCTTACGACTTCCCCCTCTTCCGGTTTCGCCAATCTTCGACGAAACCTCGCTTATCTCCCTCCCCCTCCTGGTTTCTCTCAATACACCCACCTTCGTGAACAAACTTTCGCGATACAGTTACCATTAGAGCTAGCTGAGAAGACAACGATGGGATCGCAGCTCACTGAGACCACCAAAAATCTTACATTTGTCCCCTACTAGAAAGCATTTTGGATGATCAATCATTAAAAGTTGTAAACACTTTAGATATCTCGGGTCTATTATTCAAAGTGACTTTGATATAAATGAAAATGTTACTAGTGGAATTCAAGTTGGATGGAAATATTTGGGATTTGTAAATTTGCACTTCTCTCACTCTCTCTTGATATACTTGAGCTTTACTTATCAAGGCAATCGTTATTACTGATGTTAAACTTTGAAAAATTAAGTTTGACAAATTTAACTCCACCATGCTTAGCCAGTAAAAATTTTGTAAGAATTTGAACTTTTGAGTTTAAAAATTGTCCTCAAACTTGTTTTAGAATAACATGCTCTCTGAAGGAAGATATGCAAATAAGTCTTAAAAATGGATGAACTTCAACTGAGTTCATGCGTTGTTGTCCTTACAAGTCCCATTGAAAAAAGGAACTTTAAACTTCATTAGAAGTTTAAATTAAAGTTTCTAATGTGATGTTTGGGAAGGCATGCATACAAGCAGGATTTCATTTTATTTTATTTCAGTTTTATTTATCTTGCTTTTGATGCCAGAAAAATCTCGTCAAATATGCTTTCTTTCTATGAATTAGTCTTATTGTGTGATAAAAAATGTGTTATGTGTTTAGTTAAACAAATGTAGGTGGCAAGCTATGGTTAGCTGATACAGTTAAGTAGATGCAGTGAATAATGTTGGAAGGCTGCAGATAGTGGTTGCTCAGGCTGTATTTTTATTTTTTACATCAATGATTTTAAGAGGTATATATGGCTGATTCTTTTAGTGTTGAAGAGAGATGTCCAAATGACATTGTAGAATCTGAACTTTTGAGAACTTAGAAGAATATTTGTTACATCATGTTTTTTTTTTCATTGTTGGTATTCATTTGTGAAATAATTTTGCTTGTTGTTGTGATTGTTAATATTTGTTTTATTTTTGTGTAGGTAGTATGAATCAAAAAGTTCTTTTAAATTTTTTTTTATCGGTTGCATGTTTGTGTCGGATTAGCGTCGGCTTTCACAACGTTACGCAAAATTGTGTCTGATAATTTTTTACGCAAAATCCGACGGTAATCTGTGAAACTGTTTTGCGGCGTAATTCATAGATTGCAAGTCTTAAGTAAAAGTTATCGTTAAAAATTTTTGACGCAAATTTGACGAAAATTGAATTATAGACCCTTGTTTTACCATCAAAGTCCATTGCAATGCAAATCCGATGCAAATTGGATGAATCGACCAAAATATTGTTGGGTTTGCCTCAATTTTGCGTCAATTTTGTTCGACTCCAAATTTTATAATTCCTATTGTGCAGGTATTGAGGGTTGTGTGAGTCGTGGGTTATATAGATTGTAGTTAATCGTATAAGCTGTAGCGGAGAGCTATGATGTTGTCTTCGGGCCGCAGAAGCAGGAGTCGATAGTTCCACAAGAAATAAGCCATATATTTTTGTGGTTGGTCTTGTATGTTGTAGTGGTGGGCTGCAAGGAGAGAGCCTCAGGAATTCAGAGAAAATCCATCTTCTGGGTGTGTTGTTGCACCGTCTTCGGGAAGCATTATTGCTCCATATGTTGGGTGAATTGTTACACCGCCTTCAAGAAGCATCATCTTGCTATATTCGAGGGGCATTACTACATCATCATCAAGCTTTGTTAGTGTACTGTATTTGCAATTCATTGTTACACCCTTTCGGATGACGTATTGCTCCATATAGTGCTTTACAGTTTTCGAACATACATTGGGATTTTGAAATGCACAATGTCACTCCACAAGCGAATTCACTATAAGGAGCAAATGATAGTCAATTGACTAAAGAAGGGGGCAACTAGATTTGGCGGCAGCTGGTGGTTGTCGGAGGCGGTGGCTGTTGGCTCTTGGAGGAGGCGGCAGTGTCGGTGTTTGACGGTGGCTTTGGCCGGAGTTGGCCGATGGAGGTGGAGTATGGAGATGACCAACGCTGTTAGTCGGAGTTGGCTGACAAGCGATGTTTAACGATAGTCGACAGTGCAGGTGTGGAAGACGAACAATGGTGCGTGGATACAGGAGCAGAAGATGTTCACTTTTGATCGGCCGCCTCGAAGATATCTCATTGATTGGAAGTCGTGAAGCTTGATTCCACTATAAGTTTGTCAGATTCAACTATGCCCGAAAAGTTCCAAAAAAATGGTCCAATGACTTGATCGAGGCTTGATTTGACTTGAGTTGAACCGATTTCAGTATCGTTGGGTCTGTATCGTCAATGTCAGTTTGATTGTAAGTTTATCAAAATTAGAATTCTTAACGACTTTTAGTCAAAATTTGAACATTTATTCCTAAAAAATTGCCTCAAGATTTGTGCCTAATGATGGACATTTGTTCATTAAGTATCAATTATATTTTAAAAGCGAAGCATATATTTTCAAGTATAAGTATATGCGAGCAAGTGATATAAGTGTGAATGTTAAATTTTAGGGAAGCATATATAAATACGTCAAAATTGTGTGATATGCATGTTAATTTTCAATATATCCAAAATAAAATTTTATTTAATTACCTAAATATCCCTAAAAAGTAATTTCCAAACAAAACTATCATACTTGTTTGCAACTCAATGCCAGTAGAAAACTATTCTAAAGAGTCCATAAAGCTAAAAAACTTTCTATTTTACCCCACCATTAAAATACATATTAATTTTTTAATTGAACTGATTCAAGTCTCCCAAATTTGTAAATTTTCTGACAAAATTTACAAATTTATCCGAAAATAGTTTTTTTTATTTAAGTAAATACATTGTTCTACTATTACTTTTTATTATTGACCCAAGAAAATATTATCTATAAAATTTATGAGTAGCAAGCCTAGAAACAAGCCTCCAACAACTTATTTTTGGTTCTGTTTTTAAAACTCAAAGTAACCAGTTTATCTATCTATATATATATATATATATATATGTCATCATCAAATTATTGAAAATTTGATAAAATAAAAAATATAATTTTCAATTTAAAAATCATGTTTAATAGAAAAAAATGGAGGACAGTGGGAGGTTGAACTTAAGATTTAATATTTTACCACATTTAAGATCAAATATTAGAAATTTAGAATTTTAAAACATTGATTTAATCCAAAACTATACGCAAAGCCTCTATAAGCTAATCCAAAATTGATGACATTGAAAATGAAAAAAATATTACATCAAAATTCTGGATGCATTCGGAGTCTAATGATGAGATACCACATATCAAACGGGTACATTATTCTTAACACTGACTAATACCAACGTATAATGGAGAAGCAGACTCGCCACGAGACAACTCATTATCAGACTCTTAACACCAAATGTAATATTATGTTGGAAATGGGGGCAAAACCCTCTTTTCAACTTATCCGATCCTCCAATCGAAACTTCTTGCAGAGGATTTTCATCCGAACTGCTTCGCCGGAAGGAAATGGGCAGCGAGAGGAACTCCAGAAAGCGGCGATCTTCTCCTTCAACCTCGCTCGAAGGTAAGTGAAAAAGGTTAGCCGAAGGATCCATCTTCTGTTCATTTTTATTTATTTATTTATTTTTTTCTGTTCGAAACCCTTGATTCGTTTTCCTTTCAGATGACGAGAATAAGGTTAGGAAACTCAAGAAAAGAGACGAGAAACAGAAGAAAACAAGAAAAGATGACGATCAGGAGCGCAAAAAGAGGAAAAGAGACAAGAAATCTGGCGAGCACTCGGATTTCCGAGAACGAGAAGGAAAAGGTAGGTTTTCTGTCTAGTGTTTGTAGATTGTTTTTCTAACCGTTTTAAGCTATTACTTGTAGTAAATTTCGCTGTTTATATCAATTGGTGATGATGCTTTCATTCTTTCAGTTCAATGCCGGTTGTAGTTGCTTAAGTTCTCGAGTAATACCTAAAAAATGCTGATTCTGCTTTTGACTTTTCTAGAAAAGAGGGAGAGGCATAAACACAAAAAAAAGCGAGCAGTTAAGGTGAGTTAAATATTTTTCATAGCAGATCTTCTCACTTCATTGATATGTAATACAAATTCTTTTGTATGTACTTGGAAAATGATAAGTTGCATAGCTTCCGGTTAGAGAATAATGGCTGAGCATGTAATTTTATATTTTTCCATGACAGTGCTGGCTTATTGTTTTCTAACCTGTCTTTCCCCTTTACTGATGTTTGTTATATCTCTTAATTTTGTGTCGCTGTAAACTGCAAGATGGTAGATGAAATATATGAAAAAACCTTACTAGAACACTAAGATGGCCACTCTGCTTACTATAAAAGCATTCAAGGCATAATTTGGAGTACCAATGGCAGAGCATTTGACTTACTTGAAGCAACAATGGTAACTCTTACTAGGAGATTGGCCGAGATAATCCCCTAATGGCTTTAGGAAAGAGATGAAAGGATTGAATTTTTTTATTTTTTTGTTATCTTGATTACAGAGTAAGTCTACAACCTATTATATAAAAGATATCTAGTCCGACAAGCAAGGAAACTTCAAATTAATTGAATGAAGCAAATAAAAACTAAATTAAAATAGGATAATATTAAAATTCATATCAAATTTTGCGATTTGCATAAGGGCTTAAACAAAGTTGCACTCGAATGAGCATGGTCTTGTTTGGATTGCCTCGTTAATTGCGGAGCAATTGCTCGAATGAGCTCAAATTTGTTAATGCGTTGAAGATTTTTGTTCAGTGTGTTTATTATTGAATAAAGTGCGAGGTTAACACAAATAATAAGCTAAGTCAACAATCAACAATCAATTTTTTTTATTGATGATACTCGGTTGCATGCAAGGGGTTTTGAGTTTTTTATATCACAATAATTTTGAGTTATATAAATCATAAAATATGCGTTGCTCTTTTTTCTGATTATATGAAAATATTTTAATAACAAAATACTTTAAGTGCTCATGAGGTTCTTAAAAATGACTAAAAAAATTCACATTCCTATCTGAATTGATGCTGGATTGATAATCTTGGTCATACCATGAAGATAAATTATCCATCTGAAATAGAGATCAACAATGTCCGAAGCATTGATCACCTTGTGGCAGGGTATTAAGTGCTACACTAGGGTCGGAAGGCGGTTTGTTTCGACAACACAAGACATGATGAAATGAAATGAACATGTTTTGTATTTTCAAAGAAAGACTTGCATGTAAATAAACTAAAAGGAAATATAAATTTTATTAATATTGAAAATTTCAATGATACAACTGAACTGAAACAAGAAAATTAGCTGAATTAAAATAGAAATGATAACATATAAAAAATACCTAGGCCAAACAAGGAAAAATACATTAGCTAAAACAAATACTGAGGAAAAAAAAACCAAAATTGGGAAGCTAAAACTGAAAAGCGTGTGCTCTTGGAGGCAATCCTGCCGGTGACCGAAGAAAGCCTGTTATGCTAAATATCAAAGAGTGAGTTTGATAAATTCAATAATTAACAACTATCTATTAAAACATAAATGACAAGGTAAATGAGGCATGCATTATGGACAACAAATAAGGACGATCACTATGTGCATATGTAATACTGTAAAACAACAAGAGTGGTAAATATCAACTATGCATATCATACGAAAACATGCTATCATTTTCTATCAAATTTCTTAATACTCAATTTCAAGTTATTATTTATATAGTTGGTTTTAACAGAAACTCTAAAATCGGGAAGGTCAATACTAGCACAAGGAAACCCGATAATTTTCTATAGAGTCATAATGTTGTGGGAGAGACGATCTATCTCTCGAAAAGTAGATCATCCTTGTATGTTGCTTGTTTTCCTTTGATTTTCGTAATAGCAACCCTTGTTTGCGTTTTTTCCCACCCATCTATTGTCGTTTCATCGTTGTTTGCTCGCTGATTTTGGTTCCAAGGCATATCACTTTCCTATTCTTTTTCACATCCGCGTTCCTCGGCCACATTGTTTTGGGAAACAATTCTTATTTTGTAGGACCCAAGGCTTGTAGACAAATTGAATAGTGAATGTTGATATATAATTAAAAGCAGCAATTTTTTGGTAAAATTATGCATTAGTCAGCATGAATTATGATTTTCTTATTTTTATTTTCATTTTGCATGCCATCTTAAATTGCATTACAAATTTTAGTCTTTCAACCGTCTTACAGCTAGAAAAATCATGAGTCTGTGGGCCCTTTGACTTTCTATCTTAAGACGTTGGGCTTGATTTAAAATTTTCAATGGGTCCATCGGCTGGGAAAGGAGCCGAGACCCACACAATGTTTGCGTGGTACTTTTTGCTCCCTAGTGAACGATAGGGACATAACCAGAAAGAACTCAAGGTCAGGTCATAATATTTCAACTTCCCAATCCTTTAAAAAACTAGTTCTTAAGTGAAAGTACTCATAGCATGAGAACTTTTAGCTGGTGAGTTGACATTTCATCTCAACGCCCATTGTTAACTTTTTTTAGTGTTCAGCAAATTTAATTTTCTACGTCAAGAAACCTTCTTTGAATGATAAATTGTAATTCAGATGGTCACCATACTTTAAATCCCTCAACCTACACAGTTTTACGGTACTGGCAGGTCTGGTTTCCCTCTTTTTTAGACAAAGGTTAAGCATGCAAATTGAATTCTCCATGCTCTTATTTTTTAATGGGTGAAGTTGAACATTGCAACATTTGGTAATTTTATTGCATTCTTAGATAATTTGGTAGCCGGGAGTGATCTGAGTTGTAGTTTAATGTCTGTGGTTTTGGTACAAAAAATAAAAAAAATAAAAATCCTGTTAACAGGAGCAAAAAAAGAGTTACATATTTCTGATAATAAGATCCTTAGCAATGTTTGGTTGCCCAAGTATTCTCGAATGATCTTCGATAATGTCCATCTTTTCCTTCTCACTAGATTAAATCCAAAATAGAAAAAAGAAGATGATATTATACCAAATGTCTCTATCCGATGTCCCTTTATATCCTTTCTATCGTTGTAAATATTCCATAAAGCTAGCGGAAGAAAGCATCCTGAATTTGACGGCTAAATGAGAAACTTGCCGCTTTCTCCTTGATGTAAATGATGAAAATTTGCAATCTTGAGTAGTACTAATATTGGATATTTGAATGCTTGTCCAAATGTCTTAAATTAAGTTGCATTTGAGAAAGAGATGTGATGGTTTCAGATTGAAGATTACCTGTAGCAATTCTTAGAAGGCACCAAATTCAACTTTAACAAGGAAGACTTCATAAACAATTCATTAACTTATCCATCCAATGCCACCATTATTAAGGAAAACATATTTCACACTGAAGTTATCCTTGTTGGGTACTCAATTTGGCTTATCATTGGATTCATTATGGGAAATAGGATCGAGAAGAGAGGGTAAGTGATTGGCATCATCCAATAACGGAGAAAGAGCAATGAGTATTTGACAAAAAAAGGTAGATTAAGAGGACATCTGCAGTTAGGATTCCAAACTAATTAGTAGAGGTTCTTCTGTCAATTTAATCCTAATTAAGGTACCATTATTGACCTTCGAAGAAATGTTAATGGGGGGGGGGGGGGGTTAAATTTTTTTTTCTAATCCATTTGAACGATCTAGAATAATTTTGGGAACATTTCCTCCAAAACTCATTAGGCTCAATTTCCCTTAATACTCCTTGTACAATTCAAAGGGAAAGAAAAGCCACTTTGGTGATAGAAATTAGGACGTAGAGAACTAATGACAGATGCAAGATTGATCACTTCAAGATTGATAAATTATTTAATCTCTACAAATTTTTTTCCAACTAATAAGATGAATACCGATATCATCTGTAATATTTTTTTTTCCTAATTGAATAAATTTTTTGGTTCCCCTGGTAAAGGACGCAAAAATAGGAAAATGAGGTGGATGAAGAGTGTAATTGCAAATTTGATTAGAGTCATGGTGCTCCCTTTTAACAGAAGTATATCCTTTCTAGCTGAAATTTTTTTATGAGTGATTTCAATGACATGATTTAAACTTCTACACCAAGAGCGAAACCAAGATGGTTAAAGGGGAAGAAATTTCACAACACACCCCAAGTTCTGTGATAAGAATGCTAGTGTGACCGTTAATTCTTCCCAGATAAATAATATATAACTTATTAAAATTAATTGTAAATCCAAAACCTTTACAAAAAAGAAGACTACGCCAAAGATATTCTTTTGCAAATTGGTATCACCTCAACAGCAGATTTTCATAAGCAAATTGATTAGGCATAGAGTCCTTGCAGATGCAAAACATTTCAATTTATTATTAGAAGCAACAGCCTTCAAAATTTTATGTAAAACATCCAATTACCATCACTCATCTGTGCATCATACTAGGTTTCTTTTCATATCTCAAACAGCCAAATAATTAATCATCCATTTTCGAGCATATTTTGTATATAAACGCCATGATTGTATGCTCTAAAATCTATCATGATTATGTAAGGTAATCTTTTCTTCTGAGAAATTTAGAATAAAAGGCATTTCATGTTTCTCCGTTTTCGTGCTACCGAGTTCCTAATTATTCTCCAGTTGATGTATCTATGCTGACTTTGCTAGTTTAATTTTTGGGTCATTTACGTTAAAAGCACACAATTTTTGCATATTTACATTTTTAACACCTAAAGTATTATATTTACATGCATAGCACACAAATCTTTAACATCACATCAAACATAGTACTATTACTAACTACTAAAATGTGAAATACACCTTTCCTTGCATAAGTTTATAACTAAGTGTTATAAATATAAATATCAAACTTTTTGTTAGATATGTGAATACATAAGAAATGTATGGTAAGTATGTATATTTTCCTTATTTTTTTCAATGTTACAGGAGGGGTTCAAGGAAATTTCTGATCAAGACTATTTTTCCAAAAACAATGAATTCTCAACCTGGCTGAAAGAAAGAGGAATATATTTCTCCGACCTCTCATCCGAAGAAGCTCGTGATCTTTTCTCGAGCTTCATTAAGGCCTGGAACAAGCAGAAGCTGCAACCTTGGTACTATGATGGCATTGCTAGCGCCCCAAGGACAGCCTATGACTGGAAGATTAAACATGACAAGTAATTCCAAAAAGGCCTTTGCACCTCTCTATACTTGTAAGGTGATAGGTACCATATCTATTATCAGTCGAAAGTCTTGAATTATTGCATAATTTGTAATGTTCAGCATGATTTTTTTTTTCTTATGGATTGCATTTAAATGCTTAAATACTAAGAGTAATATTAGTTATTTTTTAGGAAGATTTATGCATACCTGATACCACCACTTAATTCTTGCGAATTTACATATTTAACACCTGAACATCAATTTTTACATATATGACACTTTACCTATGCACAAAAAGATGTATCATACCTTTTAAAAGTTTAAATAATTATATTTTTGATGTGATATGAAAAATTTGGGTGTATAAATGTAAAAAAATAGAGTTTAGGTGTTGGATATGTAAGTAAATAGAAGTTACATGGTATGTATGTAAATGACCTTTGTAGGCCTTTAAGATTGTAATCCTCAGTTCCGACGGTTCGTAAGCTGGAACGAAGTGTTTCGTATGCTAGAATTGGAAATGAAGCGAAGGAGTCGACGCACGATTTAAATAGAGACGAAGGGATTAAGATGGAGGAAATAAGCATAATGCGAGAGAAGCGTCGAGAGAAATAGAGGATGAAGCAAAGAGCAAGGAAGAAGCGGAAGGATCTCACTTGTGTCTCGGGCAAGAAGACAGCAATTGCTTCTGAAAGGATTGGGAGCCATTGCGTGAAGCATTGACGTCACATTCGAGTACTGCATGCTTTCTATTTGATGGAGGAGTTCGTGGGACGAAGTTGATTGGTGTCAAAGCTGAAAGAAAGAGATCGTTGAACCCTAACCTAACTGAAAGGAAGAAAAGTCGTGCCCTATTAAGAGAAGGAAGTAGAGAGGAAGAAACACTCACGTATTGCTGCGTGCGAGCAAATAAGAAAAGGATGTGTTAAGCATTAGATTGTAGGAGAAAAAGATGAATAAGCATGTAGTAGGGATTTTGAGCTGTAGGTGTTATGGGTTTTATTTTTTTATTATTAATTGTGTTTATTTAAATAATTATTATAAGTTATATTAATTTTTAGTTATTACTATTATTGATTAAGCTAGGGAGTAGGGGTGCAAGTGACTCAAGCCGGCTCTAGCTCGACTCAATAAGTGACTCGTGAACTGATGTTGATGAGCTAACAAGCCAAGCTCAAGCTAGGCCCGACTCGACTTAGCTCGTGAATCGGCTTGTTTAAAAAAATATATTCATAAAATATACTAAAAATATAGTAAATTTAAAAAAATTATCTTTAAGGTATTACAAATTTTAAGAAAATAATATTTTTTATTGTATATTAAGAGATCTTTTGTTCATTCTATTTGTCAACTTATTATAAAACTGTTTAAAATTAATATCATTTTCTTTCTTTTATATTAAATAACCCGGCTTGCGAGCCGGCTCAAACTCTTAGATTTATGCTCGAGCTCGAGCTCGAGCTCGATAAAATTAATTAAGCTCAAGCCGAAAGCGGGCTCGATTGGACTCGTTTACACCCATAGTAGGAAGCTATGGAGATTGAATGATGAATTTGAGCCGATTAAAGTTTTAAGCATGTACTTTTAAAGCAGTTTGACATAAATTAGGAATAATAATTATTTAAATAAATAGATTATTCGATCTAAAAATAAGGTAATGATATAATACATTAAATGTAAAATGCAATTTTTTCATAAGTGATTAATATATAATAAATTAATAATAATTCTTTACTCGTTGATTATAGGTTTTCATTGGAAAAAAGTATCGTTACGCTAGTAGATCTTCTCAGTTGGTGAGTATTCTTACTTTTGATATGTAGTAACATTTTTGTTTCTTCTTAATTAATTACATTGATTGTTATTCCTACCTATAAATTGAATTCTCAATTTCTATTTTGATATATATGCACTTTTTTTTTTGTCATATTATCATGATTTTACATTTTTAATGATAACTACTATTATGTATTATGTATTTGAATGAAATATATGCATGAATGATATGAATTTCATTGAGTGAATATATGTGCATGCTTGATTATGATGAAATTTACTTTGGATATGTATGTGCATGCTTGACTATGATAAAGTTTATTTCATTATAGTGTTTGCGTGAGAACACTAAGGTATTTGTACATGAATAAAAATGATATTAATGTTTTAATTGATATGATTTTAGACGGTGATCTTGTGATAATTGTATTATTTAGACGGTGATCTTGTGATAAATTTAGACGGTGATCTTGTGATAATTGTATTTAGACGGTGATCTTGTGATAATTGTATTATATAAAATAATAGACAAATTAATGATATAAATATACATATGAAATGTTTTGAAATAATAGTGTGATCATATTCATGCATTTTTTCATTTTTATTGTTTACTATAATTTAGAGTATTTCACTTTGCTTTCTCACTATCATTTCAAACTAACATTTTAGGTTTAAACTTTTGATTAAAAGGATGAGTAATAGAAGATAAAATGCTTTTTGAAGATGTTGACAATTAACATAAGGTAAATTTATAATTAATTTAATCTCTTTTATTTTATGTCTTTTTTACTTACTTTTTGGATCATTAGTTGATAGTGATAAAAAATGAATATAAAATAAATTTAATTTCCACCGTCACACCGTTTATGCTTATACTGATTAATTTTAAGCCGGAGGTTGTAACAGGAATTTATCGGTGCATATCTGATAACATGATAATCAGACCAGGGAAGTATTGAGAGGCATCTGAGAACTTAATTGTGATTTGATTAATTGAGTTTATTTAAAACTAACACTTTTGAGTATGAAAATACTTGCATTTAATTTATATATGAATAATTATTATAAAAAATAATTTCATGAAAATACTTGCATTCAATTTTTCAGAAAAGGTAGTAAATTTAATATAATTATTATTAAAAATAATTCCATGAAAAGACTTAAATTTATTTACTCATAGTAATGGATGAACAAACACTCAGATTAAAAGCAACCATCAGCTAGCTTCGTTGAAACCTTAATCAAACATCCCTTTAGGCATACTAAACAATAACAAAATTTGAGAAATCAAATCTAAGCCCTGATTAAAAACTGAAAAGAACTGGCAACTGTTTTCATTAATTAACAAGACATTGTATGAAGCCATAGGTACCAATTGTAACAATTAGTTCCCCCAACTACCCCACACGTTTCAACAATTTAGAAACTAATTACAGCACAATTACATTGAAACAAAAAACAATACAAAGCAGATGCTTAAAACGCATCTATAAAATCCCACACTTGCAATAAAAATCAAATACGCCTTTACTTATTATTAGTTATCCTGACATAGCCCCCACTCAGACGCACATATCCACCAAACAGCAGCAGCACATAGCAGCACAACTACAAAACACAAAAACTAATATCATTGAGCGAACTAAACAGGAATCATCAGCATTAGCCAATAGAAAAGAAAGGAACTTTACATACATACCAGACAATACATATCTAACACCTAAAATTTAATAATAACATTTATAACATTTTGTGAAAAGATGCATTTCACTGTTTAAAAGTTAGTAAAAGCGGCAATTTTGATGTAAAGATTAAAGATTTGAGCGTTAAGTTTGTAAATATGAAAGCTTAGGCTTTCAGTAATATAAATTGATAAGAATTGTGTGGTATATGTATGTAAATTCCCTACAAGAAAAACTGAGACAGGATTTACCATCCTTTCCAGAAGCCATCGCCGCGTTTTCTAGTCTTGACTGGAGCTTGTTGTTGCAGGTAATCACCGTTGTTGTTCACAGGGTACCCCAGCGGAGGAGGCGCGGCATAAGCAGCTGGTTTTCCGTCGGTAGGTGGATATGAAGGCGGTGGTGCCAAAGAATCTGCATTAGTTTGAGATTAAACTAAAGTTAAACTTCAGCGTATATCAATACTTCTGTTGCAGGAGATTAAAATGTTTTAGCATAAATTCTCTTGTATTTACATATCTTTATGCATGAATAAGTTGCCATATATGTAAAAAATGAAAGTTTATGAGAACTGAATGGTAAGCACTCATATATCTTCCTAAAAATTATTCTACAGATGGAGGGAATTACCTCTAGCATTAGCCTGATCGACGTATGAACTCATGCTGAATGAAAGGAAGCTGTACTGATTTCTATGAATGTAGGCTTGTAGAAACAGAAAGAGGAAACTTAGTGTTTCTGCTGACACAGTAAGAGATATCTGGATGAATGAAGATGAAGGAGGTGAAGGAGCGCTGCTGTATTTATAGGTGAGTTTACTTTGAGGGAAAGGATTCTGCTAACTGGGCGGTGTTTAACGCGTGGCGATATTTATTTTTAATTTTTTTTTATAATGGATAATGTGGAGAAAACGCGTCATTTCTTTTACTCTATTGTTGACACGTGGATTCTGGAACGCATTTACAGATTTATCCATTAATTTTATATTTGCATATGGTCAAAAAGATATTAATTTATACGCGTATTTGATGAGATAATTTTTTTTTTCAACTATGCATATATATATTAATCAATTTGATTTATTATCTGTAAAGTATAATGTTAATAAAGTTTATAAGATGACCGACTTAGTCAATCAGGTCTGTTTTCTGAGGGCGCAACAGAAATTATGTATATGTATATTATTGTTATATTATTATGTAATTAATTTTAAGTTAAAGTTTATGAAAAATAATATATTTATAAGTTTTTATTTTGTTTAGAAGAAAGAACGAATGCGTTAATATAAAAATTAAATCATTAAATATTGATTACATAAATTACAAGTGGATTTTTTTGCCAGGCAAAGAAGGGAAAGCATGCAGGAAATTTGGCTGAATGAGAAGGGTGAAGAAGGAGATCCAAGAAGGGATGATGGCGGTTGAGGCTCCAAGTTGCAGGAGAATAAGGTTCATAGCCTTCACATTGAGTTGGTGCAATTGTAACTTAGACAAAGGCGGCATCGATTACTAAGAAGAAACAGCAGTTTGGTTCTTGATAAACGTACAATAGGAAAGTTCAAACATGAATATCAAGGAACTCCAACGGACCAGAAGACAAAATCAAATGACCCATTTACTTGACCAAATGCAACCCCCCAGAAACGGGGCTAGAGGTACATCGAGTGTAGGACATCAAAGTACCCACTTACTTGACCAAAGACAAATGCCAATCTGACTGAGTAGAGGCGTTGATCTGTTTATTGCCGTGACCCAACTCAAGGGAAGAATTTAGCATCATTAGCCATCTCACGGACACCCCTAAGATTCCTTATAAGGGGTCAAGAACTGGTAATAATATAATCCATGAACAAGAAAAATGAAAATGTTGATGAGCTTTTTGCAAAATACACTAGATGTTTTTTATATAGTTAATCACCATTGAACTACATATAAATAATTTTAAAAAAATGGATTAATTTTGTGTGAATTACTGGTAAAATGTGTGAGATTGTGTATGATTTCACATGCTCTCACTTGACCAGTAACTCAAGTTATATGTGAGGCCATTGAGCGTCAAGATCTGTGTTACATAATTAACTGCATAATACAATTATAAAGAGAATGTAGCTAGTTGCATAGGAAATGAGTTAGGCTTATTGAAGTTTACATTTTAGTAATATTGCAACTACATGAAAAATTTATTTACTGGTCGGCATTTGTGTTGGCCCTTTCGTCCTACTACACCTTAAAATTTAATTTTGTCAATGAATTCAGAGCAAAATCAATGCAAACAAGTAAATCATTTTTATACTGGAAATCTATCATTCATAGCCATTGAGCTTCTGTTTGGTGCAGTTGTTGTTGTTTGAAGAAGAAATAATTTTTCAAAAAGCTATAGTGGTTAATACATTTTTTTTTTCAAAAAATCAGACCGCAGCTTTCTAGTAGCCAACAACCATATTTGTTAGGTAAGGTTGCAAAACGTAGCTTTCAGTTGCATTTTTTTGGATAAGCAGACAAAAGATAGTTTTGCCAAACATAAAAAAATGTGGTGTGACACCATACTGCCACCACACCACTGCCCCAAATACACCCTTAGTAGATATTTGTGTTCTTTCCTCAACCAATTGTACCTCAATAATAAAAAAATAAACAATAAAAACCATTTTAGCTGCCACTTTACACCAATTAAGCCTAATAATTCATAACTATTAGGCATTACATGAAATACTAATTATAAAATTTCATGTAAATAATAATGATAATTAAAATAGTCAAAAGCCTGTTTGACACAACCGATCGATGTTGCCCACCTGAGCCATATTTCTACTCTTAGTCATGATAATTGTTAGAACTTTAGAATTTCTTACAATCACTTACATTATTTACAATTGTTTGTTGAGAACTTCCTCAAAAACTTGACTTTCACACATTTTTGTATTTAATGAAAACTTGAAATTCTACCTTCATAAAGTTTTTCATTAAAATATGTAAAGGGGGACATTTGCATACATACCACTCAATTTCTATGTATTTATACATCTAGCATCTAAACCGTATTTGTCTTACCTTTTACGTCACCCAAATCTTTTATATCACATTAAAAAAAATCACTTTTAAATTTTAAAAAGTCAACCATACATTTCCATTCTTAGATATATAAGATAATATATAAATGGAAGATCCACATACATATCCCTCAATTCTTATGTATTTACATATCTGGCACATGAACTTCAATTTTTTACATACTTACCACGTTACCCATGCAAGAAAAGATGTATTCCGCTCTTTCAAAAATTAACACTTTTGATATGATATGAAACATTTAGATTGCATAAACATCTATATATATATATTACTATTTTGTTTCTCCTCCAAGACTGTTATTTTGTCACAATTTTGCGCTCAAATTGGAAGATTGTGCAGTTTCAGGATAATTGGACTTACGGATTACATAGTTCCGTTTTGCACTTTCTCTACAAGTTCATTTTTGAAATACTACTTTTGATTGACATATCTTTTTGGGTTACTTGTAATTTTGGATGTGATAACTTGTCCTATGTCCTTTTTTGTGTGGTGTTGTATGTAGACGGAGGAACCCTATTAAATTATTTTTAGTAATTTACTTTACATGTCTTATGCTTAAGATTTACTAGCACTCATGAAAATGTCTAACTTAATCATATGCTGGTCCTTTGATGGTTTTGTCGTAGATCCTTATTTTGAGTTATTATATATCTTGAAATGCTTATGTAATCTATATATATATATATATATATATTCATGTGAACACATGTGAATTGGATGGCATGCATGTAGATGCAAACTTTAAAAGTTAGATATATAAATATATAAGAATTGAAAGGTACATATGGAATATATATATAACATGTGAATTGGATGGCATGCATGTAGATGCAAACTTTAAAAGTAAGATATGTAAATATATAAGAATTGAAAGGTACAAATGCAAGTCTTCCAAACCTAAGTTCTTAGCACATGGGGATGCACATGAACAATAAATAGCTCGGCATGTATATGTGTCGGTTTCTTAAAGATATTCTATAAAGTCGTTTTCACGCTCTGTGCGGAGCAGTCGCAGTGCATGTGTGACCATTAAACTATTGAGTAGTGGCGAAATGTCGTTGCCTTTTGTGTACGAGGTTTTCAGTCGGTGCACTATTTCTCTTTCCAAAAATGGAAAATTTTACTTTTCGTCGGACCTGCGGCAAGTTACCAAAAAGGAAAAAAAGGGAGCGGTCAATAAGCTCTGTGGGGCCGGATCGGTCAGATGTGATGCGCAACAAACGTCACGACTCCATTAGAACCATGCTCAATTTTCGAGGAATTTACTATAATGGCCTCGTGTGATAATCTGTATAGTTAGTTTATAGTAAAGATTATTGGATTTCTTCCGTGCTTCCCCGTCACTTTTTTCAAAATTGCGTATTTGGACATCTGCCCATCAACGAGGAGCATTATGGCGCTGGATATGTAAGTGCACAAGAATTAGCCTGTGATACATTTGAGTTAACACTGGCAAGCATTACTGAGTATTAGTTATGACTCATGAGTCCAACGCTAATTATTCAATTCAATTTGGTTCCATGAAAAAGACAGGAGCTTTTGTGGTCCGGAAACAATTTATGGCACATTTACTTCATAAAAATATATCATTTTCATATACAACCCTCAAATTAATCTCAGCTCTGCTATATAAAAACGATCTTCAGCCAACTCTCTCTGTTTTCAGCATCATCTTCTTCAACCAAGCTAAGCAAGGAAAACGTAAGATATACTGTAAACTCTTCCCCCTCCATCTTTCATCTAATTTCTTCTATGACCTTGGTAACAAATAGAAGGTGGTAGAAATGAAATTTAGATGGGTTTTTAAGTAAATTTTTCCAATTAAAATGACATTGTTCACTGACAGCTTAGTAGTATGGGGAGAGGGAAGATTGAGATAAAGAGGATTGATAGCATTACCAATAGGCAAGTGACGTTCTCCAAGAGAAGAGGAGGGCTTCTGAAGAAAGCTCATGAGCTCGCTGTTCTTACAGATGCCCGTGTAGGCGTTATGATCTTCTCTGCTAGTGGCAGGCTCTATCAATACAACAGCCCTGGTGAAAGGTTTGTGATTATTTATGTTTTCTATATTGTTATATAGTTCAATTTTGGCCTTGTTTGCAAATTGCTGATCAATATTGTATTGGGTTGAAATATTTCTTTTATTAAGTTCTTAGAGATAAGAGAAAAAATTGGTGTGTAAATCGTCAGTGAAGGACAACAAGCTTAAGGAGGAGATTGTTGAGTTAATCTAGTTGTCTCCATAAATTGTTTATGTTTTTTTTGCACATTTTTCATGTGGTCAGGCGGTCAGGAAAATCGTTGTGTGGTTAGGCGGCTAGGAAAACCGTTATGTGGTTAGTTAGTTTTTATTTTCAGAAAAACGTGACGTGTATTTATTGTGCGATTATAATTTATATTTGCTTATATATTAAGAAAATAAAAAAAAAATGTGATGTGTTAAGTACTAAAGAAAAATCTTTCATTTTTGTTGGC